GGAGCTCAAAACAAAGCTCGTATCCTTATGCTGCAAACAGATTTGCAACGTACTAGGAAGGGTACCATGCGGATGGATGAATATCTAACTAAGATGAAAAACATCTCTGAAAGTCTCGCGTTAGTTGGAAGTCTTATTCCCCAGGCAGATTTCTTCCTTCAGATGCTTGCGGGACTTGATGGTGACTATAACCCTATAGTGGTTCAGCTGTCATGTACTAAGGAAGAGATCAGCTGGATTGAATTTCAAACCATTCTGCTCACATTTGAGTCTTATCTGGAACAGCTTAATCAGGTTACTCAACTCAACATCTCTACTCAGTTTGCTCATCTTGCTACTTCTCAATCTTCACGAGGTGGCTGGAAAGGTTTTCGTGGAGCTAGAGGGTCACATGGTGGCCGAGGTAGATCAGGTCGTGGTGGTAAACCACCGTGTCAGCTTTGTGATAAACCTAGTCACACTGTAAAAGACTGCTTTCATCGCTTTGACAAGAACTTCAACCCACCTAGTGGTTCTCGTCGCATTTTTAAGGCTAGTTCTGGCTCATCCAATTTTAATGAGGTTTTTCTAGCTACTCTTGAGATTGTGAATGATGAGTCGTGGTACTTGGACAGTGGTGCCACTACTCACGTTACTAATGATGCTTCTTGGCTTGACCACCTAGTAAACAATGATGGTAAGGTTCACTTATTGGTAGCTAATAGGCAGAGTTTAAATGTTGAACAAATAGGTTCATCTACTCTACAAAATATCTCTGACACTTCTATAAAACTTAACAATGTTCTTTATGCTCCTAAGGCAAAGAAGAACTTAATCAACATTCTTAAATTATCAGATGATAATGATGCACTAATTCTAATGAACTCACGTGCTGCAGCTGTCAAGAATCAGGGAACAGGACAAGTGCTACTACAAGGGCTGAGAAATAACCTGGGTCTTTACAAAGTTGATGTAAAAAAGGTGAAAGAAGGTACTGGTTTTTGTTACAGAGGACATGCAAAGTCAGAGATGATTTTTCATGCTGAAGGAGAAGAAGTCTTAGTTGACAGAAATAATACTTGTGACTCTAGGAAGCTTTGGCATTATAGATTAGGGCATCCTAATGATAGGATTTTGAATCAAATTATTAGAGATTGTAATTTGAAGGTTAATAAGAAAACTAAACCTATGTTTTGTGAATCTTGTAAGTATGATAAATCTCACTCTCTACCCTTCAAAGCTTCCACTTCTAAGACTTCTCAACCTTTATAGTTAATTCACACAGACCTATGGGGACCTTCTCCTTTGCCTTCCTTGAATAGATTTTGATACTATGTGCTATTTTTAGATGACTACAGCAGATATTCTTGGATCTTTCCACTTAAAACTAAAGATGAAGCATTACAAATGTTTATTCAATTCAAACAATTTGCTGAAAGATAATTTGACAACAAGATTAAAATTATGCAAAGTGATTGGGGAGAAGAGTATAGGAGCTTCTCTAAGACATTACAAGAGGCTGGTATACAATTTAGACTCTCTTGTCCATATACCTCACAGCAAAATGGTAGAGCTGAAAGAAAGCACAAACATATTGTAGAAATGGGTCTCACCCTATTGGCTCAAGCTAAGATACCTCTTCATTATTAGTGGGAGGCTTTCCAGACAGCTACTGTATTAATTAATCGGTTGCCTAGCAGTGCTCTAGGTGGAATTTCACCATACATGAGGTTGTTTACAAAATATCTTGATTATTCTAACTTAAAGGTGTTTGGATCAGCTTGTTATCTTTGCCTAAGAGCTTACAATCAGCACAAGCTCCAATTTCGTACTACCAAGTATGTATTTCTTGGCTACAGTAATTCACACAAGGGATTTAAATGTTTGAGTCCTACAGGCAGGTTATACATATCCAGACATGTTGAATTTAATGAAAATGATTTTTCATTTACTTCAAGTTTTATCAACAAACGACAAGTACCTGTTGAAGAAGTGCATCCAAGTGTTTTCTTCATACCTTTGCTTTCTGCTCTGCCTGAACAATGTTCCTTTACTACAGATGACTCGAATTTGATTCCTTCATCACCTACGAGCAAAGATACAACTGTTAATGAATCTGAATTCAACTCTAATCATGCTGTCAGAATTGAAGAAATGGAAGAAGATGCAAGTCACAGCAACATACAAATAAATACAGGTTTAGTTCCTGATTTATCTACTTCCATTCAATCTATTCCTACTGTTAGTGTACCTACTGAGCAAAGACACCTTGATGAAGCTCAGAATAATCATCCTATGATTACTAGGAGCAAGGCTGGAATTTATAAACCAAAGACTCCTTTCATTGGATTAACTGAGTCTTCTGAAACTTCAGTAATGGAACCCACTTGTGTTACTGAAGCATTTAAATCTAAGATATAATGATAGATGAATTCAATGCTCTAGTGACTAATAAAACATGGGTGTTAGTTCCTCATAATGGTAGAGTCAAACCTGTAGATTGCAAATGGGTGTTCAAAGCAAAATTTAATCCTGATGGGTCATTTTTAAAGCCAAAGGCCAGATTAGTAGCTAAAGGTTTTCAACAAAATCCTGGAATTGATTATTATAAGACATTCTCTCCTGTCCTAAAACCTGCAACACTGAGATTTGTTCTTACACTAGTTGTGATTTTTAAGTGGCAAATTAGACAGCTAGATATAAATAATGCTTTTCTGAATGGCCATTTACAAGAAAAGGTATTTATGAAACAGCCAAAAGGTTTTATCGATAGAAGATTTCCTAATCATATTTGCCTTCTAAACAAGGCTATATACGGACTAAAACAGGCCCCAAGAGCCTGGTTTGATAGACTGAAGTCTGCCCTGCTTAGTTGGCACTTCCATCACTCCCAATATGCTAACTCCTTTTTTTTCTCAAATGGAAACAAGAGTTAGTATTTGTGCTTGTCTATGTTGATGACATTATTGTCACTGGAAGTAATCCATCTATGCTGAGTGGGTTTATTAAGCAACTTAACTCCCTTTTTCCCTTAAAAGATCTAGGGAATCTACACCATTTTCTTAGCATTGAAGCTCACAGAGATTTATTGGGTCTTTATCTAAAACAAGAGAAGTACATTCTGGATTTACTAAAACCTTTGGCATGGCCAATTGTTCTCCTATGCCTACTCCTATGGTGATCAACAAGAACTTGTCCATTAATGATGGAACTCTTCTTAGTAATCCCTCAATATACAGAAAAGCTGTTGGAGCATTACAATATTTAGTGAATACAAGGCCAGATATAATGTTTGCAGTGAATAAACTGAGTCAATTCCTACATACACCTACAGACCAACATTGGCAAGCAATCAAGAGAGTTCTAAGATATCTAAAGGGTACCACAGATTTGTCTCTCTACTTGAAACCAAGTAGATTTCTTACCTTACATGGCTTCTCTGATACGGATTGGGCAGCGTGTGTCGATGATTGCCGTTCAATGGGAGGATATTGTGTTTATCTTGGTGATTCTCTTATAGCCTGGTCTGGGAAGAAACAAAAGGTGATCTCTCGCTCTTTAATAGAGTCTGAATACAGGGCATTGGCAGATCTTGCAACTGAAATCACATGGCTTCAGTCATTGTTCCTTGAGATCGAATTCAAGCTCAAACAGGTTCCTGTAGCGTGGTGTGACAATCAAAGTGCCTCTGCTCTGGCTTCTAACCCAGTGTACCATGCTCGAACAAAGCACATTGAGCTGGATGTGCACTTTGTTCGAGAACGTGTTCTGTCTTGTCAACTCTCCGTCTGCTATGTTCCTTCATCAGACCAGATTGCTGATATATTTACCAAGGCTTTGTCTCATTCTCGTTTCCTGGAGTTAAGAACCAAACTCGGTCTGATTAGAAGCCCAACCCCGAGTTTGAGGGGGAATGTTAAAGCAATATAGAAGCCTAAAACTAGAAAGCCCAAACCAAAGGAAATTAAACAAAGCTGAGCCGTTTTTTTATCTGTACATTTTGTATATTATGTATTCTTTACATTTTGCATACGTGGCTTCAGCTAGTGTATTAAGGTTGTATTATCTGTCGATATAAGGAATACATGACTTTGAGGACTGCGTGCCTCTATTCACAATTTCTTTTTCTGTGTAAAATCTCATCTGTAAGAGGCTACTCAGGAAGCCAATACTTAGATTTAATTAGTTCCATCCAACAATTTACATTACTTAACTGGTTAATTAATTAATTAGCTTGAAAAGTACAATGTTTCGACAACAAAACCACTGATCTGTTCTATGAAGAACCGTGCGGTCATTATTGTTTAATGAAAGAAGCATCGGACAAGTACCGTACCGAGATGTTTATTTTTTTTTTACCAGCCCGTACAGGGACAGGTGAATCGATAACGGGGTACGTAAACACTCATTCTGGGCCCCACTCACCACCATCTCTTGCATCTGCCATAACCAAGCCTTGCGCCTCGTTCCTTATCACGGTGAGAAAGGAAGGACATCTCTTTTTCCTTCATATGGCCTTGGAAGATTCAATATACTCTCGGGGCTCTGTTTTCTCTGCATCGACCACAATAATATTCTCTGAGAAAGAATATATATTGTTTAACGTAAACAGAGTGCCAAAAGAGTGGCGGCTTTTGGAAAATAAGCTTTTTGTCAACAACAATATGATCATGATTCCCCTGCTTGTTTTTCCGACCGTCTCTTTCAGTGGATACTTTCTTTCTTTCTTCCAAGTATGCAACTTTCATTTCACGGACGAGGGTTTCAACTTTCCAAGGTTGTGGCCGGGCGCAGTGAAATTTCTCGGCACGGTGTGGAAAATTCATGACATTCCCTCTTTATTTTATGCCTAACCATTTACAATTTCGATTCAAATAAGGGAGACATAAGCAGACAACCCCATAGAAAATGCAAAATAAACATAGACGCGACGGTGTTGTGTTGCGGCCCCCCTCAAAGAAAAACCATAAGGGCATAGCTCAGAAACAAAGAAAACCAGAGAGATATAGCACAACCATTCAGAAAGGGGGGAAAAACAGGGCACTCAGTAATTCCAGAGCAAACTATTAAGGTTATTTATGATTCCACTCTCTGCAGGCACTGCTAGCTGATCAGCAACGTACCCATTACATTCTTCCATGCCCTGTAACCACGGTGGCTGGTACGTCCACGCATCAGATAAGGAATCCACGAGCACAAACTCCTGCCTTAACTCGCACGTCTCCTCACTTTTTTCCAAGCTTGGCAGCTCTATGATCTCGCTCAATTCCTCCGAACCACTGCACATTTCCATTGCCGAAACCAACGACGTCGTGGAAGATGATGACGACAATGTCGAGGGCGATGATGACGATGGCAAGTCAAACTGATCCATTTGAGCGGCTTTTGCTGCGGCAGCCTGAATATCGCGAGGAGAGACAGATGCTGGGCGGGGCAGGGAGCTTGCTAGTTGAGGGAAATTGAGAATGGCGGAATTCCCTTTGATGCTCAGGGCCGCGACGTCGTGTGCCCGTGCGGCCATTTCAGGGGTGGAGAATGTACCCAGCCATATGCGAGATTTCTTGCGTGGCTCGCGAATTTCAGAAACCCATTTGCCCCAACTACGCATCCGGACCCCACGATACACAGGATGTTTATTGGAGTCTCGATTGCGCTTTATCTTTGTTGACTCTGGGTCCTGAGATTTAGTCTGTGAGACAGGGTTTTTAAGAGCCCTGCTTGAAGGGGGCGATGATGGTGAATTTGGCGGAGAGGAGAAAGAGTTTGAGCTGCTCTCTGCTTCAGAATTCTGGGGTTCAACACTCATCGTCGGCAATGATTATTGGGATGGGAAGGGAGTTATGTTTTTCTATTTTTGAAGTTTCTGGTCTAGTGTACGGCCTACAGAGAATGAGGGATGGGTGAAAACACTAGATAGAAACAGAGAATAGAAGGGAGAAAGAGATTCTTAGCAAAGGGCATGCAAGTGAAAGTGATGAGCTTGTGCGTTATTCCCGTCACTTCCCCAATGAGTCATACAACACTTATAAAGGTTAACGGGGGACCCGCGAGAGAAATGGGTTGCTTTGCCAGTCCCAGTGTTACGATGGGTCCCCCCTCCACAGTACCTTCCTCGCGCCACGCAACTTTGAATTTTTCTGCATGCCCTGTTCTCAAATCAACCCCCCACAACAACTGGTTTCACCCCCATCACACTGTTTATTTATCCCCTACCAGCTGCCTTTCCTGCTCCATTATCAGCTCCTTTCGTTTTCTCCAATTTTCCTGTTTCCTCTTGCTACCATCTCCATTGAGCAAGTTATATATTATGATGCATCTCTCTCTGCAGGGAAGCAAATTTGGTAGGTGGAATGGTAGTATTAATGAAGATTAATAGCGACGCAACGAGCTCAACCTATCGCTGGTAGTGTCATGCTCGGACTTGAAACTTAGTTACTTATTTTTGGAATGAAAGACGGGCATGTTGTCCGGTATCTCTTCCTTTGGCATCACCTTGTTTTGATTTTATCGGTGGGCATTAAATATCACCATTAAGAATCTGAGGTTGTCAATTCTTTAGCCCCAACCTCCAACTCCCAACTTGTAACCCAAGGGTGATTCAACCATATATCGTGTTATGACCTCATCAATGTGTACCGCAGTTTTAAGTTGATTTATTGAACTGATTGAAAAAGGTGAATTCTGGGTATTCTACACATTATTCATCCAACCCAAGCATGTGTTTGCCTTAAAAGAAGGACGGGAAGAGAATGGATTAGATTATTGGACGCCTATTATCACCATAAATTTTTGCCACTCTTGTAAGGTCTAATCATCTCACCCTCTCCCTTGCTAGTGTCTTGAATGATGTAGAGAGTTTGGCGATCAGAAAACAACAAGATCTCTCTTAAATTTCTGGGTTCTAATTCACGTTTAAAAATGTTGCTATGGGGTGATTGTACAGCATACAAGCTGGTAGTAGTTGTATGGCTATTTCACAGTACGTCTCAGGCACCACATACAAGTCCCTCGTGGGTGGATGCTTGCCACGTGTACCATATGAACAGCAGTTAATCAGATCCTAATAAATGGACTAACCCCACATATCAAATCGACCTTACTCTGTATCATATTAATCAAGGGACCCTTTTCCTGTTAGGACTCGACACACTAAGTTTTGTGATATTCAGTACCAATTATTATAATTTTCGCGTTTCTCCACCATGCAATGATAAATCAGGCTACGAGTGGAAGCCAGTCCATACCTCAACATTACTGTTTCTGCTTCAATTATTATCATTATTTTTTTTTTTTTGCGAGATTGGTGTCTTGCTTTACTCTTTAAACTTTTCAGCGAGAAGCAGTCTCCGAGGTTCGTGCTATGGCTGCGCTCCGCTACAAAGCAGAGCAGCTCTGTTCTCTTTTTTCAATGGGTGCAGCAGCAGCCTTTCCGTGACTTTCGTCATCAAATTTTGCTCAGCGTCGACATCTCAGCACTCTGAAGCCACGAACCCGATAACCTGCATGCTAACATTCATCTCTATCTTTCCCTTCTCAGGTTTCCGTGAATTGATTGATTGATTTTTTTTTTTTTGGCCATCACATTAGCTTCACGCGACTGATTAATTAACGTGAGAATGAAGATAACTCTGTAAGACGTGCCTGCCAAAAGAGCTGTTGATGGATACTCATTGGGACCCACCGATGATTTGTCACTCTACAGGAATATTGTGGAATCTACCTACGAAAAATTGGCCGTATAAGGGTATGCTATGCTATGCGCTGCAGCTACAAAACGCCACAAGTCTACCACTAATATTTTGATCAACAAAACGATCAATCAAACTGGGCATCGAGACATCTGGGCGTATGTGCGGAAGAGTAAAAGGCCCGACAAGGCAAGTGTCATAAAAGATCCATTGAGTTCGTCGTACAGATGAGATTCTGTTCCACGATTCCTCCGGCCACATTGGGTTTGTGACTAGCTCCTATGAAACTAAATTATTATTAGGATCCATAATTAGATTGTTATATTAGATTGTTATTTGAGTGTATCACTTTAATCATCCGCGCAATAGAAGCTTGGTTCAATTCACTTCAACCTCGGGTATTGCATGCATGCAAATTTAAAAAAGGAAGTGTAAGCACTGTTGGTGACTTAATATAATCAGGCGGCGCGCTTTCCTAGATTGAAATGTTGAGATGAGTACTCAAATGAGGAAAGGAGAATCGTCACTCAAAAACGTGGCGGCACCGCCTTGCCATTAGTTCCGCATGTATTGCCCATACATGCGACTGCAAGATGTAGCAGGGTGTTCGACCAAATTAATTTCACGACCGGTCAGTGGGACCCCATCGCCCACTTAAAGATGGCAAAATACCTCATGCATAGTATGGCCAGTCAATGAGTCTGATGTTATCTCATGTCCCATTCACCTGCTAATGCTATTCAGATGCTCGTTGCAGCATCATACTTGGACTTTTGTATGCAGCTTTTGCCTCTGTGTTCATGCATACTGAGTGGGACCCCAAAGAAGAATGTTAATAAATGTATTTTTACCCTGCTACATGGGTTTTCCATTCCAATGTGTACTAATTCACGTCCATCAAAAGGTAATGCGAGCAAATAGCCAAGTACCACTATTTGAAGATTCTAATCCGAACAAAATGATTGATTAACTTCTGCTGTGCTTTGTTTCAATGGAATTAATTTATGCTTTTCTTCTGTTAATCCACCTCATTCTGTACGGCACACTGCGTACGAGTTTCTGAAGTATTTGATTTTGCATTTGCTGGAGTTGTAATGCGTAATGCAGTTGTTTAATTCCGATTGACCCTTCCTCTTGCTCAGGAACCCGCCTCCAGTTTTGTAACGATCCATCGAAAGGAACATTCAGAAGCCGAATGCAAATGCAGATGAGATGATCGGGGAATTAACAGTTTGCCACTTGTTTGATTAACTTTCACTTTGTCGGACAATTAAACTTGTGGTATTGATATGATATAACCAGTCGCACGCGATTGAATTTCCTCTTTAATTAACAGTCTAACAAATACTCGCGCACCGACCGGAACCGATTCTTGGGATTGATTGTCTTGAAGAAAGCGCATTTCGCACCTTCTTAGTAACGGATGCTTGAAATTAAGGGTATTCAGAAGTTTGGTTTGTTTTGATTTTGAAAAAAAAAAATCATATCAAATCAAACCATCAATTCAATTTTTTTAATCTAATTGGTTTAGTTTAGGTTTAGATCAAATTCAAATTTTTTTAAAATTATTTTTATAATCATCAATATATATTCATATTAACTGATAATTTTTAACTATTAATTATTATTTGTAATGAAAAAATCTCTTGAATATAAAAAATATTTTTAACAATTAATTAATATATTTAACTATTAAAAATTAATATATTATTTTTAAAAAACTTGATTATAAAATTAAAAAACTATCATAAACAATTGTAGATAATATTTAGGTAATTGTAATATATTTTGACTAATAATTTACAAATAATTAAACTTAAAAAAGGGAAAAAAACTAAGGCAAATTTGTTAAAATATATAATAAATATAATAAGGTTTAGTTTGATTTGGTTTAAGTTTCTAGAAGTAAAAACTTAAATTGAATCAAACTAATTAATTTTGCCAAAAAAAATCAAATCAAAGTTTATTCATAATTAATTTTCATTGATTCATGTCAATTTGATTTGATTTGATTTATGTTGTCGATTTAGATTTGTTTTGTATACTATATTGGCGCAAGAGACAACTTTACGAGACCAGGTTTTGTGCACAACTTTCGCTGAACTTCACAATAACGTCGGGCGGACACTTGATAACATCATTGAAAGCCCATTGAGAACGGTTCTAATTTCTGAACAAGAATATAATTTAAATGACATGCCTTTTTCATTGTCACGGACAACACAGTTATATACGGGTTATCTCCGTGAAATTTAATAAACTTATTTCACAATAATTCTGGAACCCTTGTATTGATAACACAGTAAATCTCCACCAACTTAGCAATCAGTACGGAAGAAAGACGTTGAGAAATTCATATTTATGCCAGACCTTCAAAGCAATTATACTGGATGAATCAACTTGAGCTTTATCTGTAACACTTATGCCGCAGTTATGGAGAAGACTCTGTTATACCAAACAGAATGAAGTGTCATGTGAAATATATCGTACTTGACAGGATTCGCATGCCAAAGGAAATGCTGCTGCACCTTTTTGACCCTCATCTGCATTCGAAGATAGGTCTTTATAGGGATGGAAAGCAGTATACTCTTCAAATTTGGAATGTCTTTCTCCAGCACAAAAACAGCAAAGGATTCCCAATTCAATACTTCAAAAAAAGGTGGCACAAAATTATCTGATATAATGACTGGAACACACTCGTAAAAGATGGCCTCCACAACTCTTGGACTGTTTACTTCATAGCCTTTAGCACATATGCAGTATTTACTGCTCTTCATGTAGTGGATGTAGTCCCTATTCCCCCTGGACTTGGGCAACTTCCCAAATATTTTCATGTCAGCATCTTTATTTTCCCAGTACTTCAACAGAATTGGCCTAACATACCCGTGCATACTCCCTGCAAAGAAGGCCAGATTTGGCCTTCTGGAAACTCGAAATCCCCCGAGGTCTTTCGTTGGGTTCCGAGAATTGATCACAAATGTTTCAGGAAGAGACACGTCCTTTCCAAACACAAACCCTTCTTTGACATCTGCATTGCACAGAGCTTTAATGCAATTAGACATGCCCTCCCTTGTTTCTGCAGGGGCCTGCATGTGTCGTGCAGGGAAGATGAATGAGATAGAATATATGTCTACTCTCTTATTGAATCTAAATGAAAAACGGTTGGTGGACCCGGCATATTGACTGTGAACTGGGATTAATTAAAAGGACAGAAAATATACCCAGTCATGGCAAGCAACTAGAAAATGATCAGCTCCTCGTGTTCTGTTCCAGAAGGGATACTTTCCCCCAATCGTGTCAACATAATTATTCAGATACTCGATTAAGTTCTTGTGACTATGTGAATTCTTTACATACAAAGCTTCCTCTAGCATTCGAGAACTAAATGGTAGGTAAAATAGGTGGGCTTTCTTTGGGTCTTCAGTAACAAATCTTTTATTAGCTTCCATCACTTTCATGAACCATCCCTCAGAAGCATATATTCCTGTCAGAAATGGTGAATGCAAAACGGGTCTTGCTCCTTCTCCATATACATGCACTTTGAGAGTCTCCTCCATTAATTCATAGCTCCTGAAATTAGATACATGACAATCAGAAAATTAAATGAATGGCTTAAAAGCACCATCATATATCCTGTTTCTTGCATCAGTGCAGCTACCTCTTTGCTTAGATCTTACGCAGAAACACAAATATATGTCAACTTAATGTTCATACAGAACTGTGTAATTTCAAGAATAAAATTTTTCCTCTCGAGGGTACTTCTAAATGTTTTAAATATCTAATAAAACCATGCCTCTTGAACAATGAAAAATTGTGGTATAGGGGAGCATATAGACTTGGATCATCCTTCACAATAGGTGCATTTTCAATCTCTGATCTGGCCTGCAACAGCTCTTGATCGACTGCAGAGGACCACAGCGGCCTCTAGAAAGAAATTAACAATACATATAAGAAGCCAACATAGCAACATGAAACGGCAGGAGCCCTCCGGCCAACTAAATTGAGAAAAACGAACGTTCAGTAAGTAATGTACCATAGAACGGTATGAGGCATGACTCTGAAGCAGTAACTTCTTCATTTCAGATATTGATGTTACTTCGGGAATTAGCTTATGAGAATCTTTATTGCTGATAGAGGAACTCTTGCCTTGTGCATTGTCATCATTTTGTAATGGCTTTAAGACTCCATCCTGTTTTGCTATGTTTTCTTTCTGAACTGAAGATATGTTTGACTTGGAATCAATTGATAATCCTGAAGTTGTATTATTTGGGTCCACTACTATTGGATGTTTGGGTTGCATTGCGGGAGGAAGGGACAGAGTATTAGTGTATGAACTTCTAGTATTTTGTGGTGATCTAGATGGAGCGTTTTCTTCTCTAGAACTGTGTGTCAAATTATTTGAACCCATGGTAAAATTATAAATGATGCGGTCAAACCTTCCTGCTTGCTTCTTTGCAGATCCATTGTCCGATTTCTTAATATTGTCCTCCCCAGGAACTTTGTAAGACTCATTAAGTATAGAAGATCTGTTTGATTCCACTTGGGGCTTCAAGACAAAACCAAAATTTGTAGCTGTTTTCTGTTCCTCAAAGGTGCTTGTGTTATTTGCCATCTCCAAGGCGTCTCCATTAGTAGAGTTTGGCTTAATCAAACTTGTCATTTTGTCAGATATTTCAGAATTAGACGGTGGTTGTGCAGTCTGATCGGGACTAGCTCCTGACTCTGGAATCTTACTGCTATGGAATACATTGAGTAGCACGTTACCATATGGAAGTTCAAAATACTGAAATGCCAGAATCAATGCGAATGTAAAGCTTATGAGCCATAACAATTTCTTTGTTTCCAGCTTAATCGAGGACAAACAATCTTGACCCATTTGCAGAAGTTATGCTCCTGTCAGTTCACTTCAATTAATCTTACCCACCTCTGCAGATTACACGAAAAACTCTGATCCAGTTAGAAAGACAGCATTTTCAAACCAAACAATGGGAAGAGGAACAGAAATTTCCCCTTTTTCCGTGGAACATTCTCTCAGTCCATTGCATGGAAAAATGAAAAAGAAACTTTGATTGGCTGCAAATATTGTAATCCAAAGGAAGAAAAGGCCTTAGAGAGGCTGCAAATATTGTAATTCAAGGAAAGAAAAGGCCTAAGAGATGTAGAAAGGAAACAGGGTAAGAAAAAGAAAAGAGCAACATGCAAATGAACCACAGCAGAGCAACCTTTCTGTCCCACACAGACAGGGATCAAAAGTCCAGAACGAAGTCGTGGTCCATCAAAATCCACCAAGCGTCAGCTTACCACGGACCAAATTACATGCAACACAAGAAAAAAGTTCGATTCTGGTGATGACTTTTGCTCCATGCAAAGTCGAACCCAAAAGACTGGCTAATCGGAAATTGCGGGCAATACTGCACTACCATCAATCGGCATTTTAAAAAGAAACAAGATTCTGGGAAGCATAGAGATGATCGAAAGAGAAAAAGAAAAACCAAGAGAGCTACGAAAACAAGATGACAAATAATTCAAGAACAGATAGCTCGAAGAGTCACCTGGTGGTAAAAGCAGGTTCTGAGAGGTGTAATTCATGCAGATTCAGAGAGATCAAACAGGATCCTTGCACTTTGCTTCTTTAGTTTAAGAAGGGAAAAACAAGAAAAATAACGTAGGTGACGGTGACGGCACAGAACACGCTCTTCGGTTCGTTAATTTGGCGATTATTGTGAAATAACGTGACAACATTGATTCATGTCTTTGAAGTGCTGAAGCTGAAGGCGAAGCAGAGACCCTTGTGGGTTCTGACAGAAATCCCACCGAGCTCAATGCCACGTTGCACCACCTCCAACCGCCACTTCACTGTCGCTCCCCCACCTCCCTTTTTTCAAAAACTCTTCCATGCACCTTTCCAATTCATAATTCCCTCCTCATTGTAAGACTGTAATACGTACCAGCATGTAAATTCTTATTTATTATTTAGGGAGAATTTCAATTGAGGGCCACATTTGCAACTTAATTACAGGTGAGTTTAAAAAAATTTTAAAATTTTAGTTTAATCCAAAAAAAAAGTCAAAAAAATTTTGACAATGAAAAGATTAAAATACCCTTCCCTTATTACTCAAAATTATAATTGTTAATTTCCTAATATGAATTTTAAATTACATGAATTGATATGTCAATCATTATATAAAACTTAATATCAGTTATTCAATCATAAGTAGTAACATCAGTTATTAAATTACTAACTTTACTTATTAATTTATTAACATTAATTGTAAATTATAATTTAATGTTAGTAAATTAATAAGTAAAGTTAGAAATCAACAAGTGGTGTTACTAATTGTTTGATAAACGGATATAATTTACAAGCGATATTAATCAATTAATAAGTAAAGTAAAAAAAATTAACAATGAGTGGTTTTACATAACAAATGAAATGTATTTTGATCTTTTTACTATCCAATTTTTTTTTGACTTTTCTCTTCTAAATTGAACTAGAATTTTAAAATTTTTCTCAATCCACATGTAATTAAGCAATTACAGTGGTCCTTAATTAAAATTCTCCCTATTATTTAAGTACTTCCTACTTATTATATATAATTAATTTACAAAAATTTCAAAATTAGTTAAATTAATTATTCATAAAAAATGTGTTTTGATTTCTTTAAAATATTCTCGTTAATCATTCATCTTGAAAACTGCCTTATCCATAAAATTTCCCTTTATAATATGTGCTATTAAAAAGATATTTTGAGAGGGACATCATAAATTTATGAAATAAAGTGGATTGAGATTTTACATTTAAAATTAAAAAAAACCTTTAAATAGCACTTGGGCAAATAGAGTAAAACACTTTTAGTAAGCTCTACCATCAATTGACCTATTATTGTACTATTTTTATTTAATTTTAAATACAATAATAATAATACAAGACATTGAAAAATTTGGCCGTTAGGTCTATAGATTTTTCAATGGGAAAGGCGTTGATATTTAGTATTTGATTTTACTTTTAATAGAAAAACACCTATATGGGCAATGAAGAAAATAAAATCAATCAATATTTATATTAATATTAAGCTAAAATATGATATTTATACAGGTCCCTATATTTGTAAGCTATGAAGTGAGTGAACATTGAATAATGCTTGCCTAATTAATGAAATATATATTCCCTCCATTTAAAAATATAAAGTATTTTTAACTAAATCTTATCTTTAATAAAATAAATACCTACTTTCAAACTAACTCTATTTTTTTATATTTACCCTTATTAAACACTCTACAAAAAATATAAAGCAATAGAGACACTTTTAAAAAAAAGACAATGATTATAACTTGAAAGATTAAAAATGCCTTATATTTTTACACATTCAAGTCCTCAAAAAATATCTTATATTTTTGAACAGAAAGAGTAATTATTTGGACTTTTCCACTTTACAAATTAAATACCATGTATACAATTTTGAATTTTCAGAACCCAGGTTGTTTTGTAAAAATGTTAACTACCTGGTATTGAAATTATAGAAATAAGGGAGAATGATATCGGAATCCCAAAATAAGAAATTTATGATAGTTAAATCTAGCATACAATTTTATGAAAAATTAATTACAAATATTGATTTAGATAATTTTAAATTTAAGATTTTTAATTGCAAGTAAAATTTTACTCCATTGAATCTTATTTATAAAGTAGAGAGAGAATTTTTTTTATCTTATTTATAAGTTACCTCATCAAATTTTTAACACAATTTTCTCCTTTTAATTTTTAATTTTTATCTTTATCTTCAACACAAATTTAAGAGTTTATTATCTTTACTTAATAACTATATTATTTTAATTTTTTTTATGGAGGCTCAAAACTATTGACAGCCCGTTTAAGCAACCATGGCCCTCACTGTTTGAAAAAAAATATAATGAAATGAATTAAAGAAATAAAAATAAAAATAAATTAAAATAATATATAATCTCAATCCGCTTTATTTCATAAATTTATAATGTCTCTCTCAAAATGTCTTATTTGGATTGAGATTTTACATTTAAAATTAAAATATCTTATTAATAGCTTATATTAAAGGGAAATTTTATGGATAAGGCAGTTTTCAAGATGAATGATTAACGAGAATATTTTAAAGAAATCAACACACATTTTTGATGAATAATTAATTTAACTAATTTTGAAATTTTTGTAAACTAATTATATATAAAAAGTAGGAAGTACTTAAATAATAGAGAGAGTTTCATGACTATATCCGTATCACATTAGTTACCACCCGCAAGCAACTACTCTCTGGTATCTCTTTTCTTGCATGAATTAATTTACAATAAGATAATACATTACGTAGTGGTTTTGAGGGGGAAGTGCAACCTTACACGGGCAAAATTACATATTTGGGATGTAAAATTTAGAACCTTGCTCCTTCTATTTTTAGAATTTTGAACTTCATAGACTCAATAAAGATATTTAGATTCAAAAAATTTCTAGTATATAATATTTTAGATTCATTAGACATATTATTTAAAAAATACCTCAAATAGTTGTTTATTTTATAATAAAATTCAACCCCAACAAAGTATGCATAATTTTATAATAATAGTTTTCTTTCCTTTTAAATATAAACTCTATAGCAATCTTCTTAACATGATTTTAGCCAAAAAAACCTCCATATAATTTCTCAAATAAAAATATACGTAATTTTACTTATGTCATATTATATATGTGTGTACATTAATGTAATTACTTTTTAAATTCATCATATTATGTTCCTAACCCTAGATCTTGGCTCCATTGTTAATATTGTTCTTTCCTTATTATGAATATGGTTGACCTATCACTGGTTTACATTTTTGATATTTTGTGTTTGACTTTGTTTCTTTTTTTATCCATTTGATTCTTGCATCATTCTCAGCAACCAGACAAAGCCTTAACATTTATAGTAATTGTTAAGGTAATTCCTTATATGTCATATTATTTATTGGCATTATTTAGGATATTTAGGGATTTAATTATCAGAACTAGCTGCGACAATTAAACCCTTAAAAGAAGGAAATTTCACCGAAGAAATAATTCATGCAGGTGGTAACTAATGTGATGCGGGCATAGTCATGAAACTCTATATATATATATATATTTTTTTTTTTTTTTCTTGTAGGAGAGTGAAGCATGAAGTCAAAACTCAATTAACCTATCGTGATGGGGAAGCAAACAAGGCTGTCAAAAGTCAAAACTCAATAGGCAATAGATACAAGTCTACAACTTATGATTTCAAGTATAACATGCCTTGTGTTTTTTCTTCAATTTAAAATATTGGTAGGGTTAGAGTTAAAAAATGGGCAGGCTTAATCCTTAAGCTCAGTTTTTTATTTTTCACTTTTTTTTAATGCTCAACTCTTATTTAAAGGGTTTAAGCTAAGCCTGTAAGCTTGTTCTGGAAAAACAAAAAAATAAAATAAAATTAAGAATTGTAAATTAATTAAAATATTTTAAAATTAAAAAAATAAAATTTTTATAATCTTTTAAAAATTAAACAACACACATTTCGAAGTTTAGTAAGAAAATTCAAATCTTGATTAAAAAAATAATTAATTTTTTATAAATATACAAATATAATAATTATAAAAAATAAAAAATATCAAAAAATTTGTATTGTACTTTGATATTTATTAAATTATATTAAATTAATTTTAAAATAAATTAAAATTAATAATAATATAACGCCGGTAGGATTAGGGCTTTAGGCGAACAGGTCCTTTTTGGTTTCAAACACATGTTTTATTAAAAAAATTAATAATAATATAATAGGACTTGAAAGGTCGTCCGGGTCCAAGCTTTTTTTATAGGGCTTATCAAGACCAAACTTTCAAACTTAGTTACTTTAAAAAAAATTAATTTTTAAAGTCCAAATTTCTATTTAAACAGGGCATCCAAATTTCAGGCTCAGCCCTTCGACTCTAGTGGGAGTACACACAGATAGAATGAAAATCGTACTAAATCATATTCGGACCACTCCAAGTGCCAAAAAAAAAAAAGGAATTAAAACAATACTTTGACATATATATATATATATATATATATATATATATATTAGATGCACATACCGCATGACACTGCATTCATGTGTGAATATGGCATCGCGGGTTAGTTTTCCCAGTAAACCTTATCTTTGATACTAAGTCACTAGCAGTACTGGTTGAATTTCAGACCCCTCATCTTTACTCCTTTGATGATTTTATTTACAAGGCACTTCCACTATGTTTTAACTGAACTAAAAAAAATCTTAAAACTCTTTAATTTTATCTAAAAATTTAATAATTTCTTAAATTTGCACTTGTTAAATATATATATTTTACAATATTTTTTATTTCTTTAACATTTAATGGAGGTCAAATAAAAAAATTGTGATGAAAATTTAATGAGGAGACTTATAAATAAAATAAAAAAATTTCTCTCTCTCTCTATCTTATAAATAGGATTAGAGGGAGTACATCTGCAAGTTTTGGCATTAAATAACTGAAAGGAATAATTAAGAAATGGAAACTTGCATGTGTATGGCATTGCCAGTGAAATGCTCCATTTCCTTAATTTGAAAGCAAGGAATAATCATTGATATATCATTTCTCATGGAATTTCGCCAACAGTTTCACCTCAAAATAAAGCTGGATATCCTCTCATTTATTTTCTCATCAATTACTACGCAGGA